ACAAGCAGGAAGCTCCAACGCATTCGCGTCGGAAAGCGGCTCTGGCGACGGTAGGTAGTTGTTACGCGTTTACGGTTTCCTTGGTAACCTTTGTTTGCTATCAGCTGATGTCGAGTGGTATGCTAGGAAGCTCCAACCACGGCATTCTTCGAAAAAAGCGCGAAAACTTATAGATTTGAATTTTCAAATTTTAAACGTAAAGTACATTTTTTCCAGTGCGAGATTAAAGCACAGACCCGTTTTGAATTATTGACAGTGTCACCATGATTCCAAAAATACACTACACAACATAGCATTCGCTCACAGGAAAAAGATATCAATTAAAATAAAATCAGTCCCCCCTAAACAGCAGAAAATGGCGCCGATTCCCATCAACCAACACGCGGTCTCTCCAATGTAACATGGTCCGTTGATACTCCCCAGCTGGGACCGTCCGGAATAGCAGCTCTAGTGCAAGCACCAGAGCCGCTAAAATCAAGTTTTCAGCAATTCGATTAATTTTCATCTATACTATAAGCTCCAAGACCTCCTAATTTTGTGAAACTGGTGACGCTTAGTTCCAGCGTTCTACCGGGCCGATTTTCATGATTTTTGCGGCTATCGACGGGCAATTGTCTCTAGATAAGCCAACTCTTTTTAGATTTTCAAAATATGGCCCAGGTTTTTATATATTACGTGGTAAAGTTGCGAATTCTCCCATTTAAACAATGTAAATTTATATTTTTTGTCATAGTTCGTTTGAGCGTTCTACCGGGCCGATTTCCATGATTTTTGCGTAAATCGAGAGGTAATTGGCCCTAGATGAGCCCGCTGTAATCAGATTTTGGAAAAAGGACCCAGGTTTTTTTAAAATCACGTTATAAAAGTGAGTGAGTTTACAGAATGCTCCGGTACTGCTACCGCTATGCGCGGGAGGATGCGCAGTGGTCGAGGAGGTTGCGCAGTAGCTGTGTAGCCTGCGCATCAGCTCTACACTTATCTACACAAGATTCGCGGCCACAACCTAATGTCGAGCAGTGGCCGAGTCGTCTGAGACGTGGGATGCACCCACTGATGTGAACTCGGTGCGGGTTCGATCCCCGTCTCAAGAAATTTTAATTATTACCTGACTAAAAGTGTTCATTGTTTTACTCCAATATTTCATCAAGCAGTCATTCCAAAACGCGTCCTTTTAATTTTAAAGTAATTTTAAGTAAAGTTTAAAATTAAAGTATGCCTCATATCGTTATTTTTTAGGGGAAAAATAAAACTCCGGAAAAATAAAACTAACACTGATAGGAGGGTAAAAATAGGGCCGCGAAGCGGCCCATTGATGGCGCGGAGCGCCTTCAGGGGGTTGGGCCGCGTAGCGGCCAGGGGGCGTAGCCCCCTAGTAGTTTATATCTAAGAGTTTTGAAACGCGGGGAGGGGGTCATTCTGCCGTGCTACGGAAGAACGCCGTGCGATCTTTTGAGAGTTGCCAGATTTCCTTAAGAAAAATGTTTATTTTTGAGGAAAGTTTTGGATATTTTTCCTTGAAATTTTCAGGAAATTTAGGTGAAATTGTGAACAATATTATCTGAAAAATTGGAAGACAAATATTCATGAGTCTATCAGGGATTTCGATTTTTATCAATCGAACGCCTGAGTATTCATACGGCGTTCTTCATTAGCACGGCAGGATTGCCCCCCCCCTCCTCTCCCTCTCCTGTCCCATTAAATGACACCATCGAATGTGATGCTCAGAAATGCTTAGGAAATGTCCTAAAATTCGGAAATTATAGAACGATCGTTCTACCGTCAGCTCGTTCTGGAAAGTGCTGAAGAGCTACGTTACGTTTAGTACCTACATAGGGAGAGTAGGGACCATGAAAAAGTAGAAATTTAGTCGATTTTGATGAAATCGGAATAATTTTCTGAAAAATTAGTGACCGGGATTATACTCGGCATATGCGGAAGGCAGATGCAAGCCGTACATGCCCGCAGCAGATGCCACCAGCACTCTCCAGATAATTAATTCCCCAGAAAATATATTTTTATAAATTCGATAGGAGTTAAAAAAACAAGAAACTTACTGGATTTTGATGAAACGGGAATAATTTTCTGAAAAAAAATTGGCTATAGGAGCTGCGTTTCAAAATACCAAAGGAGTTCTTATAGCCGACTGAAGAAGGCGATAGAAAATCATATAGCTGGCCATAGAAAGTGGAGAAAATCATACGGCCGGGCTACACGAAGCGATAAAAAATTATACAGCCGGGCTATAGTTCCTATCGCCGGGCTTTACACTTTATCACCTGGCTGTTGCTTTTTCGCCATCGGCTATAAAAGGCCATGAGAAATTGTGTAGAAATTCGTGTGCTTTGTAAATCCTTAAGTTTGTACGGAATCGCCATAATATTTACAAAACGCACATTATATTTTCCTTTGCCACATATTTTTTTTTTTTTCATCAATTAAAATGAAAATAATCCATACAGAGTGTGCAAACATTTCAAAGTCATGAGTTGAAAAATGCTGACTCCACGAGATTAAATATTAGAGCCTAACACAAAGCGGAGCGGCGGCACACTGGCGCCTACAAATCTAACAGGGATACTTCACGCATTGCGCAATGCGTGAAGTATCCATGTTAGGTTTGAAGGCGCCAATGCGCGTTTCGCGCTGGCTGCCCGCCCGCCGCGCGGCCGCGCCGCTTGAAGCAACTATTTCACAACAGAGGTATTGCACAGTATCATACGAAATTGCAGGCGCTCCAACATGTTAGGAATGGCAGGCATCCTTCAAAAGTACGGAGCTTTCCTCGAAAATAAATCAAGATACTACTGCCCAAAAAGAGAGCGGTAGTCCAAAAACTCACTAAGTCCTAGCATCCGTAATTAGTAACGTTTAGCATACACTTTATCGTCAGGCTGTTGCTTAGTCGCCATCGGCTATAAAAGGCTATAAGACATTGTGTTGCCGGCTATAGAAGCTATTGGAAATCTTACAGCCGGCTGTAGGTCAATGGTATTTTGGAACACAGATTCTATTGCCAATTTTTTCCAGGGTATGCGGATGACAGATGCCAGCAGACGGACATGCCGGTAATTTTGAGGTTACGTGATGGAGCTTCAAGGGCCCAAAAAGGCAGCCAAGCTATGAATTCAAATCATCCAGATGGTTCTTTTGAAAAAAAGCACGTCGTTTGTAAAGCACGTATTTGACTCCGTCATTGCATAAATTCACGCTCATATACATATCGACGGTGAAAGTCAGCAATCACATAACTCGTTTGCGGTGTCTGAAAATCTCCGCCTCTACGTCATTTTTTTTAAAGGAGAGCAAATTGACATTATTTCTTGAAGTTTTTGCAGAATTTTCTTCGCATTTAGAAGAAAAATCATGACTGTTTTTTGGAATTACCGTTGAGTAGTTTTCCATTTAAAAAGTAAAGTATTACAGGAAGTCTGCGACGTCGCAAACTGAGTTATGTGATTGCCGACTTGCACCGTCGATATGAACATTCTTGGCCGTTTTGGTTTGATATTGGAATCTGAAGACTGGCGGTGACATTTTTCGTTTTTGGAGGTTGACTGTCCTTTTTGGCCCTAAAAGTTCCATATTTCGACATGTCCGTACTCTCCCTATGTAGGTACTCTACCTTAACTTATCAGTAAATTAACCTCAGTGTGAAATACTCCACAGATATTTTTTGAAGGGTTAATTTTTGTTCACAGACCAGTATACGCTGTTCGGAATCACTAGTTGGGGTCTAGGTTGCGGCCTGGCGAACAAACCAGGAGTCTACTCCAACGTTGCCCTCTACCGACCGTGGATCGACAAAAAAATTCGCTCTTCTCTGCGCAATCACAAAGAACTGCGAGTAGGAAAAAGTTGAATGTTCGTCATCGACACCAGTGGTGAGGCATAGAGAAAAAAAGGAGGTGTTTGCATCCTAAGGTTTGTTTACCCTGTGACGTAGGTCGGTACAACCTGGTCAACAAAATCCGGAATTCGAAGTATAAAAAACGGATCATAATGTCCGATTTTTTTGCTGAAATCAACTCATGATTTAATTCCAAATACTTTATGTGGTATGCATTTTTTTTCGTAAACTACACCATTTCGAAGAAAATCGATGATAAAAGTCGCCGCACCGACCTACGTCATCAAAAAAATTCCAAGATGCCCGAAATGCAAACACCTCCTTTTTTTTCTCTATGGTGGTGAGGCGTGAATGGTCGATTCCGGATTTTCCCCCATTTGAAGCTATGGTAAAGAACTGATTATTCAGGTGCTCGTTTCGAATACCCTGTATATCGATCCTTTTCTATAGGTTTAAATGGTAGATCAATCTATGTATCGCAAAACACACCACGCCACTGTCATCGATAATCAAATTTGCTGAAGTTCCTTATTGGGTTGGGGTCGAGTGAACCCTGAAAATGGACCACTTATGCTGTTTTGCTAAGGAAGAACGTCGTATGAGCCAAGTAGACTTTTTTTCTCTAAATTTCCAGAGCGTATATTTCGTTCGTAATTTGATATGTATTGTTTTAGAATTTCAATGAAAAATATGCATAATTATCCTCGAAAATAAGTATTTTCTGAGGGCAAATTTGGCAACATTCGAATGTTCGTAAGGCGTTCTCCTTAGCACAGCAGTACGCGGGCACGACCCTACCACAGTCCCCAGTAATGACTGTTGAAAAAAAATTAAGAAACTGGTGGATTTTTAAAAGTTGGCTCTCAAAAGAACTGTTCATTATATAGCTCAGGTTAAATAAAAAGAAAGTGTGTTGATCGCAATCCGAGCCCTGAAGTTCACAAGACTACATGCATTACAGTGCTCATTTTAGTCCTTTTTGACTTAAATATTTTCAAATCATTTTAGCACGCCCTGTATGTAATGGAAGAAGTTTTTCGATGTATCACTTACATCCATTTTAAAAGGCCTATAAGACCTGATTGTTGATTTGTAACCGCTATTTATCATAGGTCAAAACTCATTAATTCGTTGAATCAAGTTTTTTTCCCGGAGCAAGAAGAAGCTTGAATGAACTAAACTTTAGACGTTGGTTTCTTACTTTTCATTGCCTATCCTACAAAATCTAAGAAGGTATATTTCACAATCTTGACGAGGAGACTAACAACAAGATAGTTTCATTCTTACCTTGTCTGGTGGTCCGTACTTCCCATTATTTAAATTATTGTTTAATTTATTTTCTTTTAATTTATGTGACTTTGAAAAATAAAGTTAATTTATAAGTGTTCTCTTGTTGTTATGCGCTCCCATTCTCAAATATGCACTGTTTATTTAAGCCAACATCAGTGCTCGCTTTTTTATTAAAACGAATTTAATTGAGTCGAATCAATTGCACAATTAAGGGTTAGAGGCTTCCCAGGGGTGAGGGGTCTAGAGGCCGATGAACCAATTTTTTTGTTAATCTTGTATTTTCAACCATACCTACTCCTGCATTTGAGGGGCTTGGAGGACAAGACGCATCAGTGCAGTTTTTGAAAAATCGAGATATTAATGATTTCAAGCGAAACTAGTCTTAATGCATATTCTGAGAAAAATTCGCTCCCAAATTCCAATTTTTAAGCATCAAAAAGTCAGTTTGGATTTTCCTTCCGCCATAAGAATCCATGCAATTTTGGAACTTCTAACTCTTATTTTTCGGAATATATAGCAGAAATAATTGCACTTATGCGCCTTGTCTTCTAAGCCTCTCATTCGTAATTTGTGAGAAGCGGACTGCGTGTAGGGTATACTTTAACCCAGAGAACCGGCCATTTTGCATTGTATTCAGGGCTGCCACCGTGCTATGTGCTATAAAGGACCAGGGTGGTGAATCAAACATAGTTAGATGTTGACGCAGTTGACGCCAACCGTTGGTTCTCTGAATCGGCGAATTTGGCGTGGGAATGAATCTTCGAAATCAGCCTGAGGAACCATGCAGCGTCAATTCTACTCCTCAAACTACGCAGGACAAGTCGATTATCTCGGAATTTTTCCCCGTCCAAAATCGAGAAAAATCGTCAGAGATTATATGGACTTAAATAGGGTCAAAATTGAAAGTTCTCCGATTGAGCTGAAACCAAGGGAATCCCATGTAAAATGACTTGAGCAGTCCGATTTTGTCGTCAGAAGTGCTCTGCGATGGTATCAACTGGCACGAGCTTGGTCCAATTGATAAACTGCGGCTTCCAGGACTTTATGTCCACCTACCTTTCGTCCATTAAATAAATTTCCACCGCTATTTATGTCCACTAAACGTTAAGTCCAGTCTTTATTAAGTCCACATGATTTAATGTCCAACCATGAATATGTCCAAAATTGTCCAAATTTGTGGATATGTCATGTCCACATTTTTTTCTTCTCATTTAAATGACAGGAACCATCGCAAAAATAAATGCATACTACTACTACCTTCATTCTTAAAAACATTTCATTCATGAATCAAGTCATGAAAGAGAACAGACTCTAAGAGCAGATAAAAACATATGTTCATGTGCACACTGTACGGATATGATAAGATGAAAACCAAAGCGGGAGCCTAGAAAACGCTTCAATGCCAATAAATTAAACATTTTTCAGCAACAGATGCAGTCAAAATTGAAAGTCCTCTTTAACTAGTTATTTCGTGCGCCTTCAATCTTGTAGGATACTGTGCAACGCCTATGACGCGAAATAGTTAAAGCGTTGCCTAAAGCGTTGCGGCGCGGTAGGAAACCAGTGTGACACGCGCATAGGCGCCTACAAACCTAACGGGATACTTAACGCGTTGCGCAATGCGTGAAGTATCCCGTTAGGTTTGTAGGCGCCTATCCGCGTTCTGCGCTGCTAACACGCCGCTCCGCTCTGTGTTAGGCTCTAATATTTAAACTCGCGGAGTCAGCGTTTTTCAACTCATGATTTTGAAACGTTTGCACTCTCTGCATTGATTATTCCCTTTTAAACTGACGAAAAAGAAATATGTACTACTGGAATATATAATCTGTTTTTTGTAAATATAATAGTGGTTCCGTATCAAATTTAATGATTTCCAAAGCATTCAAATTTATTCTTTTATGTTTTGGGCTTTTACTGTGCTGCAGCGTCGTGTAAGCGCAACCAAACGCTCAAAATTGGACGTATTTGACTCAAGGAGGTCAATGTACAAATAAGTTAAAAACAAAAAAATTGCGTGCTTCTTAGTTTTTTTCCTCTTTTATTAATTTTTGTATAGTTTCTTTCATCACAACTACGGCTCTTTGAGATTCATATCGATGCCATTGCTTGGAAAAGGTTTTACAAATATTTACCACGTTTTAAAAATGTAAATGTTTTTAAATTGAAGTACCTAATCAATTTTATTAAAAAAAAAAGAATGTACATTTAAGGCATATTTTATATCGGAAATTGCAAGGATAGAAATGAAACCAAGTATTTACCAAAGACAATTTGAAAATATGAATCAAAAGAAGAAATTAACATTTCATTTAAAATATGAGTTACGATGACAACACCTCATTCTCTATTAATTTTCTCATTTCGATATTGACAATATAATTTTACACACGGACTAAAATATGACGCTTGAATTTGATTTTAGTGGACTTTACATTCGTGGACTTAACTTAGTGGACGTTTAAGTAATGGACTCAACAATAGTGTGGGCTTTAGAACTGTGGACGTAAAAATTGGGGACGAAAAGTCTGTGGACGTAAAAAAAGTGGACATAAAGTCCGTGTACCCAACTGCGACCAACATGCAATTGTGTTGAGACCAGGTTTTTTGCTATGTTAGAGCAACAGGGTACCATGTTTCATTTCAATAATCAACTCGCTGGAGCCATCTCTCCACGTTTTAGTGTATTTTCCGAAGAAAATACACTATTGTTTTTGTTTTAGAAGTAATTATGAACCACGATATAGGGTGCGAAATAAAGCACCACATAATACTATGTTTCCTAATCGAAATTTGCCTAATATGTAATGGGCGCATCAAAACTTTCTGAATTTCACTTTAAAGTTGGAAAATTAAGTTTTTTGTCCACGCAATAGTTTAGTCCCTCTCACAAAAAAACTGTAATCAAGTAATTGATTAATTAATATTCCAATTTAGAATTTTCCTCCTCTATGGTCTGCCTTTCTCTTGGAAAGTCACATTACAGGAAGTTTTAAGTAACAACTTCAATTTATCATTAAGGAAATAATACTCTTGTAATGTCTCGTGTCTTGCTGAAGATGGGTCCGAAGATTCACAGTGAATTCGAGATTTTTTCGCTTTAGGTAATAATTAAACAACAATATGCGTGATAAGGCATAATAAATGTTCATCATGTTCTGTATTTAACTTAATTTTTATTTTTTGCTGAAATTAGCACATCGTACCGTTAATTCATAATTGGCGAGTTAATTGAACGACAGATGAAATGAAAATAGGGATATATCGGAACAAGCAACGGACGTAAAGTACGTTTTGGCAAAACATTCCTCAAATGGACTTATGCTAAAGGAACTATTATCATTGTGTTCGCGTGCAATACAGTTTCTTTTAGCATAAATACGTCCTAATATAATAGCTGCTTTGATTCATATTATTTCTGCCCCACAAAACTTACAAGATATTAATTCTTACAATTAGTACAGTTCAAAAAAGTTCAGTGTTCAAATTTGTATCACTTGACTTTTGAATTGGGACAATTTGTCGACTGTCAGACGAAAGGACGCGTAATTACCTTTCAACGGTGTAAAATTTCCACTCGGAAAATACATTTTTTCTAGAAAATTGCTGAGAATTGTTAACTGAAAATTTCACTAATTTTTTTCTGATCACACCTAAGAATCCGTAAAATTTTGGACAGAAACGTCATCACAATGTTCAATTAATGATCCTCGAGGGTACGAAAAAATCTTTAAAAGTTGGCAACACGGTTTGCCTCCATTTAAATGTATGTAAAACTATCGATCCTTCGCAAGACAGCTCGCCTTACCTATAAACTCGATATTTTCCATGGATTCAAATACAGGAAAATCAGTGTTGCCAACTTGCAAAATCGGCTCTGATTGGGATCAGGGCCGGATTTAGGGGGTGACCACATGGGCCGCGGCCCATGGCGGCAAATCTAGAGGGCGGCAAATTTTGCAATTTTTTCAAATGTAGGTATAAAAAAATATCGGATTTTGAAAAAAAAAATTACAAATGAGAAAAGGCGACAAAATCTCTCATTTCCTGAGAGTGTAGTAATTTTTAATTTTGTCGTCTTTCAGTGATACAAGAGACAGCGCCTTTAATTAGTCCACTTAAGAGAGAAACCAAACACGCAATTTGGCGTGGAACGGCGCGGCTTAGAGAGAAATGATGACGAGGACTTGGGATGAAAAGGAGAAGCCCTCGGCGTGGCGATCGGCATGTAACACATATTAGCGCCTACAAGACTGCACGAATACTTCACGCATTGCATCAAGCATAGTGCGGTCATTGTGGTCAGCGTGAAACGGATAGCGCCTACAAGAATGCATGAATACTTCACGCATTGCGCCACACACAGTGCGGTCAGCGTGAAACGCATGGCGCCTACAAGACTGCGTGAATACTTCACGTATTGCGCCAAACACGGTGCGGTCTGCGCCGCGCGGCGGCGGAAGTTAAAATCATTTAACCACATTCATGTTCATTCTTTCATAATTGTTTCGTTCATTTCTTATGAATGGAAGGCCTTGTCCACACAGAGATAGGTTTACAAAACTTAACTTTTGCTAGTAGTGTTGACAGGGCATCCCCAAAAAATGTGTTCAACACGAGTAAACGCGTCTTATGCACCCCTCTCTCGCTTGCACGTTCACTTGATGGTTTTCATTGATGTTTCAATACGAATGAGAAGGGAGCGGCAAAATACAGGCGGCCCATGGGCGGCAAGTAGGTAAATCCGGCCCTGTTGTGATGATGATCATGTAAGATTTAGTCTTACCCCCGATGATCATTTGAACACCATGGATTGTCTTAATTTTACATAGTTGCATCGTTCGATTCGTCAAGTTTGCAATCTGGCCAGAGTTACAATCCTTCGCCTATGGGAGACAACGAAGTGGCCAATGGAGTCGGATCCCATATTTTGACAAACGTTCATAGAAATATGATTCGGGGTGGTCAGATTAGGTTCCAGATCGATTTCATTCGAAAGTAAGCAAGCATAGTCAGTCCGATTGGCTGTGCTGCAATGCCTCCTGGGACGAGAGTTTTCTGGTCATACTCACTCGGTAACTATGGACTACGACTATGGATAAAAAGTCCAAACCTGAAACAAACATAAACGTGAGTTAGGCTGGTTCCTCAGTCGCGGTGTTTCAGAATCTCCGCTCCTACTTCAATTTGGCAACACCGGATTTACTCCATTTAAACCTACGCTAAATAATCGATTCCTGTCGGAGCACCTGTCCCCTCTAAGAATCGATACATTTCCATAGGGTTTAATGGAGAGAATCCGGTGTTGCCAAATTGCTGGATCCGCCAATGAGTTTTTGGAAGGAGACCAAACCAAGATCATGGCTTAAAATTTCCACAGAGTATTCTTCACCTGGAGAGGAAAAATCTCCGAAAATTTCAATAAATGACATGTTGTGGTTTTCCATGTAAAAAATAGAGTATGACTAGAAGTCTCAGTGCCGCAAATGGATTTGCGCATTTCTGCAGTTTCATCATCATTCTGGGTTGGCACACAGAAAACTCAGGTAAGGGTCCGTTCAAAAATGACGCTTCGCGGCATTTCCCCCTCCCTTCCGCACGGCAGGTTCCCTCTCCAATTTTTGCCATCCATGGTAAAAATTGGCAGTAGAATCTGTGTTCCAAAATACCATAGACCTAAAGCCGGCTGTAAGATTTCCAATAGCTTCTGTAGCCGGCGAAACGTGCATTAGCGCCTACAAACCTAACAGGGATACTTCACGCATTGCGCAATGCGTGAAGTATCCCTGTTAGGTTTGTAGGCGCCAGTGCGTCGCCGCTCCGCTTTGTGTTAGGCTCTAATATTTAATCTTACGGAGTCAGCGTTTTTCAACTCATGATTTTGAAATGTTTGCACACTCTGTATGGATAATTCTCATTTTAATTGATGAAAAAAAATATGTTTTAAAGGAAAATATAATGTGTGTTTTGTAAATATTAAGGTAGTTCCGTATCAAACTTAATGATTTCCAAAGCACACGAATTTCTACAAAATTTCATATAGCCTTTTATAGCCAATGGCGATAAAGTGTAAAGCCCGGCGATAGGAACTATATCCCGACTGTATACTTTCTTATAGCTTCGTATAGCCCGGCTATATGATTTGCTCTGCTTTCTACAGCCAGCTATATGATTTTCAATAGCCTCCTTTAGTCGGCTATAAGAACTCCAATGGTATTTTGAAACGCAGCTCCTATCGCCAATTTTTACCAGGGATTCTTCATAGGGGTACATCAGGAAGCTCTAGGTTCATATTCAGGGGCGGTCTGGCCAGGGTGGGCCGGAGTTATATTTTCAGCGCTCCTAGGCTGAAGTTCGTGTCCCTGCTAAAAATGGTGATCGAGTACAAATGAGTAAAAAATCAAAGTCAAATGAATAGAATTTCAACTTATACAAATAGAATTCAACTCATTCAGTTTTGGCCATCTTATATGACTGGAGATTCCAACTCATATGACTAGACATTTCATCTGACACGAGTTCAGCGTTGAATTTACCGTGTCCGATATCTCAGAAACTAGTCACCGCATCAAAAAAATCATAAGAACAAAATGTTTTTATTTTTCAAATTTACATGCGCTGTCGGTGTCTCCTGGTCAGAAACAGCACGTCTGAAAAATGGAAAAAATTGAATTCATAGGAGTTTAACTTTTCTATACTCTTGTGAATAGAATATTCTAGTGATATGAGTAGAATTTCTGCTCATATGAGTAGAATTTCTACTCATTAAGTAGGAAATTCTACTCATGTGAGTTGGCGAATTCTGAAAAGCCTACTCGTCATTTTTGGCAGGGTGGTGCCCCTAAAGGAAGGTCCCACCGGGAGGGGAAAGGGCTGTCTGGGACGCATTGCGTCTGATGCCGCAGCCGGTCCTTAAAGAACGTCATTCTTTTTTGACAATTTTGTAATCAGGAACTACTATTTCTCGCTCACTTACGAAAGTATCTATGGCACGTATGGTGTTTCTGAAATAAACCAGAAATTGTAGTTTCCAACTGTAAAATGTACTTCATTTATCACAGGGGAGCCTTCCGAGAGAAAATGGCCCAGAAAATTAGTTCTAAAAGAAATGAGTTTTTTTAAACTTTCATTCGATTCAAAAAGTTTTCACGTATCTGTTTTTAAATAATGCTAGCAATTTTACAAAAAAATATCAAAATGAAGTAGATGGATATGAAAACTTGCCTATCCAGAGTGTTGGTGCGGAGAAAGATTTTATCGTTACGATTGCAGAGGCGAAAAAGTAAAGCATGAATACTTCGATGGTTTCAGCGACGACAACGAAAATCATTACCATCAGAAAAGCTCGTAAGTATGTTAAGCTCTCCTAGGAAGAAATAATTGGTATTAGAAAAACACATATTTAAATAATAAAAGAAAAAAAAATGCATTAACTATCGGGCTTTCCTATATTATTTTCTTCTCGAAGGTGTGATAATTTTTGTATTTATTTCCTGAAATTTTGTGTTTTTAACTCTTGCACGCAGTAACTCTCTCAAAAATGCATTTGCTCTTTTGCACTAGTTTTTTAAGAATCGGTGTGCTTCTAATTTTTACAGAATGTCAACATCTTTGTCATAAGTTCTTGTAAAAAGCAGTACGTTGCTTGTTAACTTTTTAGAATAAACCCGATTTTTTAGTTACCCTGGAAAAAAAAACACATTGGATCTAGTGTTTGATCTAATGTTTTCAAGAGTCCAGACTCTTGAAAACATTCACAAGAAAAAATACTCTTGATTCAATCGGATTTTTGCTTGAATCAAGACGAAATCCGATTAAATTAAGAGGCTTGGTTCTTGATTTAAGCTAGATTCTGATTGAATCAAGAGTACTTTTACATATTGATGATTTTAAGAGTCTGGACTCTAGATCCACACTGAGAAAAAACTATGGCTTATAAACCTATTAGAGGTAAATATGGAACACCACTAATAGTAGTACCTCTACATATAATAATAGCACATATACCTTAGTTATGGTACGGGGTACCTTAATTAGGTACAGAGACCTTAGTATGGTTCACAGACCGAGAATCATTAGTTTATTTACGACTATTATAGGTGTTCCATATTTACCTCTAATAGGTTTATAAACCATAGTTTTTTCTCAGTGCAATGTGTTTTTTCCAGTGCGTATAACTGAACGTTCGGTTCATATAACCGAAGTTTCATCAGTTCTTTTAATCTCATAAGTTCGGCTACACAAATTGGAAGTTGGGTCTGACGAACAGAATAGTTGTGATGATATAGAACACCATGTTTTCCTTCATTTTAAAAGATATGCAATTGTATCTACTTGCAGGTCAAAATAGTCGTATCACGTGTTTTGCCCCATCCAACGTTTCTACTCCCGCGTTAAAGTCTCTGAGTCAGCGGAAAAGAGACCAAGCTCAATTTCATTGTCGTGCGGATATGCGAGAAAATTCTGTTGCTTCATAGTTATGACCGACGAGATGCTTGTCGAAATTGGTAGATAAAGCGATAGACAAAGAAGACAAAAGGGATATGGAAGGAGCGGTGAAAGCGGGTGGTTACGATTGGCAAAGGAGGTATGTAATTGACGAACGGTCGGCCGCCCACGAGAGACCTTGTAGTTGGTCCATCATTTTCTCCCTTCGTCTATAGGAACTACCCACTTCAACCAATAAGATCGCTCCATAATCACTGTATGTCTTGCTTGTCTATCGCTTTGTCTACCAATTCCAACAAACAGCCCGAGGATCTGTGAAAAGAACCACGCCACGTCGTCCGGAAGAGAATTTCCGAACCTTTGAACTTTGAGCGGAAAATGATCGTTGAAAGCCCCTTCAAAACTGTAGGTATGCTCCAAGCATCGCACCGAATCCGCAAGCCCGCTGCTGCGGAGCCCGATCTCTTGTCTCGCTCTCGGCCCACGAATCGCGCTGAGCTCTGGAGAATAATCCGAGCTTTTCGCGGTCAACGAGTTGAACTACATTTTGCAATTTGGACCTATAGATTCTAGCCCGGTTCTAAAAAACCCATGTGCCATTAGTTTCCCTATGCACATAAGTGTTTTTCCAGAAGAACCAGAACTTATAGTTCCAAATTGCAAAATGTAGTCCAGTTGTAGGGGCGCGGGTGCCCCCTCTTCCCAAATAAAAAGAGAAAAGCCCAGGAACCGGATAAATGAAAAAATAGTGCTTCACACAGTAAAATTTTGAAAAAAGTGATGAAACACTGGTACCTTGAGAAGTCCATATATGAGTATCGCGATCGAGCTGAGGATAGCAAAAATGATCGGCAGTTCAAATAAACACAACATTATGGCCATGACTGGAAAGAAAAATGCATGAGAAGGATGCGAAATTAGTCGGACGGCTTTCATTTTTTGGATTTTTTAAAGTGTTGGATGTGGAGATAAGATGGAAGTATCTGTTTTCAGATACCTCACAATTTCAGAATTTCCACAAATGCATTGTCCACCTTCTTTTAGAAACTATTAAAATCGTATCATACATAAGTATAAAATATCTTCGTTAATTTCACAGTCTCTTTCTCTTCCGTCCCCTGTAGTGACACATGAGTCGATTTTTTTGAAAAGAAAAGAAAAAAAATCGTGGAACATCGATAATTTTGAGCATAATATAATATGTTTGTACATTTATAGGGCAAACTCAAACGGTCTCTTCAAGTAGTCGTGCCGGAACTATTAAGTTCGTCTTCAGGCAATGAGAGCAGATTAGAAGCGCTCCTCGTATATTCCCAAACCTTTTTGTTTTATAATTGCAATATTTCAAAATCTCAATTTTTTTATGCGTTAAAAAGTTTTATAATCGACATCATTGTCCGAGCGCTATACAGGGCGACCATCGGATCGTAAAGCCCAATTCACACTATCAAATTTTTCATCCAACTCTTGGATGCAACTTGTCCAAGAAAAGTTGGATAGTATGATACTGACGAGAGAAAACGACAATTTGATGAAAAATTGAACGGAAACTTGAATGTGACTTCACATTCTAACTTTTTGTTCAACTTTATATACAATTGGCGCCTCCAATTGGATGGAAAGTTGTACCCTGGTAAAAATGGCAAGTGTTAGGTCAGTGAATTTTCCACTGAGGTCAGTGCAATTTGCTCTGAGGTCAGTTCAGTTTTCTCTGACGTAAGTGTTAAAGCACTTACCCAAGAAGTCAGCACTGAGGTAAGAGGCATTGACGTCGGGAGAAAGACTTACCTAAGTGCAGAGATGTCTCTGAGGTAAGCGGGACTGAGGTCAGGACTTGGTTCAGAGGGTAAGTCTCTGACATCAATCTTAATCGAACCGCACTCACTCCCAAAAAGTAGAGATGGCTCCCCCTTCCCCCACCCTATTTCATTTTCGTGGGGGAATATTTCCTCGGGACACGGGGACCACAAACTTTATCTTTCAGAGAGGCATATTTTGTAGAAGGTGGGATTTTCTAAGAGGGAAGGAAAACTAGTTTAAGTAGCCACACTCTTGAATAATTTGTTTTACCCTCTTCGTTTAAGATGGCACTTAAATAATTAAAACACAACAAAAAATGAGATCGATAAAAATATTATCACCGCTAAAATATGTATTTAGATATATTTATTTAAGCATTATTATTTTTTTATAAAAAAAATAGTTTTAAATTTGGTTTAATTTTTTTCAGTTTTAACTGTTTTTAAAATGTTTCAGTCTCAATTTTTTTTTAAAATTTTCCTACTTTATTTTCAATTCTTTTCTAACTTTTTTACTCCTTTACTTTCAATTTTTGTATCTGCTAATTTATATTTTTTGTATAATTTCAACTTTAATTATTTTTTTTGCATCATTAGCTTTAATTTTGAATTTTAGTGCGATCCATTTTTTTTGCAAAGAAACGTAACTTATAAAACTTCATTTACATGTTGATTGGTTAGAAAAGAATAATAAAAAAATTAAGTATCGGATTCAAATTCAAAGACAAAATCATCATTTGCTGGCAAAATTACTCCAATGGGGGCCCTGAAATATGGCATAATTACGCCCCGCATACTTACACGCGCAGATAGTGTAGTGGTTCAATCGCTAGGACGATCACCGAAGTTAAGATACGTCGGGCGTAGTTAGTACTTAGATTGGAGACCGCATGGGAACGAGCGATGTCCCCTGAAGATTGTGATACTTGCTTGGGATTGAAAACTCACTGCAGCCCTCCCTGATCGTCAAATAGTGACTTAACGTACCTGGCAGATCGGTAATTAACGAAAGTTTTGCCTGTACAGTATTTCTGGGAGTTTCCACTCCGCTTACGTCTGAGACACTTAGGTCAGTGCCACTTACATCAGAGGCACTTGCCTTTGGAACAGACCTAACACTGAGGTAGCAGATCAGCGCCCGGCAGCACTGACATCAGTGCTTAGGTCTGTTCCAAAGGCAAGTGCTACTGATCTGAGCACTTGCCATTTTTACCAGGGTACACAAAGCTGGAACGAACTCTCCTAACCGACAAGAGCCAAAGCTGTATCTTCGCGCACCGCATGCTGATGGCGATATCACACTACAACGGTAATAGACTACTAGAAAAGGTAAGAATTTAAGCAATCTGATACATGTTTCTCAATCAGAATTTCACGTAGAACACGATTCGCACAACGAAAATTACTGAATTACGTTTTTATTTCTCATTGGCTACGAGGAATTTGAACTGCCCGCTCACAAGAAACTCAAAGCTCTACGTGCGTCAAATCGTGCACTCCATCGGTTTCAGCAAGCTTCTCAATCGAGCAATGTTTATTTCCCACCATGTGTCGTTCAAACTATTAGCAATTTGCTATAGCTGAGCCAAAGCGTCAAGATTGAGGTTGTCAGATTTTTATATCGCAGAGACTGTCATGATAACGTTTAGCGCGTGATGTGAATCACGTAGAGCATTGAGTTTTCATGAGCGGGTGGTTTGAATTCACGCATCAGGAATCATTAAATATCTTCGTAAGGAGTTGATTTCGGTAATTTTCGTTGTGCGCGTCGTATTCTAGGTGAAATTTTGGTTAAGACGCATTTATCAGAATGCTGAAATTTGCACCTTGTCTAGTGGTCCATTGAATTATTTTTTTTGCGACCAACTGTCCATTCAACTTTTCGTTCAATGATGTCGGATGAAAAGTTTGATAGTGTGAATTGTGTGAATTGGGCTTAAAGAAAAACCAAGCCACACTAATGAATCGTTTTCTCTCTTGGAAGTAACACAGAATTTTATAAATATGGAAGGACTTTTTGCTACGGTAAAGTTAGGTACACGGTTTTATACTTCGATCATCGAATAGTTGCTTGCATTAGTTTAAGTCCGTTCATTTTGAAATAATGTAATCGACATCAAATGTTCCACGGTCATTCTGATCAATGCCTTCAAAAAGAATTCTAGGCAATGTGAGCGACTTCGGAGCAACTATATAGTTGGCCTTAAGATAGTTTGGTCACGTTCATTCGATTTCAGTTGTCAAATACCAGACAAAGAGTTTTGTAAAACGGAATCCTCGTTTTCTTCGAGGGTCGATTATCAAAAGGAGTAAAACTAACCTGCCGTTTCTCCACCTGCCCGAATGTGGGATGCAATCCATTGGACCAATCCGTCAGCTGGGATCCGATAAAATACCATGTAGCTGACCGACACCTAGTAACGTAAAGGAACGATCTAACGTTATTTGGATTTTATCAAAAGTGAACCACAAAAAATACTCACATCCTTCGCAAGTGTGCAACTTGCGCTTAGGAGATGCCAGTACGTGCTATCCACGGGTCAAGCGATGAGTGCGTGAGGAGTCAAAACGCCTTCGAATCCGTGCGTATGCAACACGGGCATCTGCAGAGGCCGAATAGTGGTATCCAGACGTTAAAATGAAATTAGCGTAGTAATTGTTGCATGCGATTCTATCGGAAGGCGCTTCGTTTGCTTCTATTACTTGGATTGCATTTTGCAAAAAGGAACCAGAAGAATTGCGATGATGCTAAGATTGTGTATTTTCATCCTACGCAGTAAAATTACTGAAACCATGAAAAAATATGAAATTTACATTGTAATTTTGTCTTAAATTTACAGTTATTAGCGAGTAAAGTAGAAACTGTTAATGGACAATCAGGTTTTTCCTCCAAGACAAAAGAAGTTGCACAATCTTAGTAACATGGCAATGCTCCTGGTTCATTTTTGCAAAATGCAATCCACTTTTGATCTTAATTTTACCGTTGCTTTTTGTGCCGATGAAGTAACCCATTGCTGATTTTGATCGCGACGTCGTTATTAATATTTTTTTTGGCAGATGGTTAATGAAATTCCGGCCAGGAATGTACATCAATCCAGGGTTAGAATAGAGTACCTGTATAGCGAGAGTATGGACAGATCGCTTCACGGAGGGCTTAGGGCCCAAAAGTGCAGCCACCCTTCTAACCAACTTCTAACGCACAAAACACTGCCAGTCTGCAGATTCCAATTCTAACCAAGATGGCGAAGGATGTACGTCAATGAGCGTTCTTCCGCAAAAACGAGTAAATTTATGCAAAAACTAAGTCAAGTACGTGCTTTAAAAACGATGGTTCGTAACAAATGAATCAATAAATCGCTCTGAATAATTGAAATTCATATGTCGGCTGTATTTTTGGGCCCTAACTTTATTCGCGGAGGCATCGGTGAAGGCCTGATGGATTTTCGGAGTTTCACATCTGTCTATACTCTCGCTGTACAGGTACTCTAGATTAGAAGATGTCAGTCGCCGCACAGCGGATCGAGTCGAGGTCGGAGTTGTTTTTGACCAAAACAAGTTTGATGTTTATTTCGTCACATTTTAAATTTTAAGAGGTGTCTACAGAAGGAGATTTCACGAGGAAACCAATGGGCTCACTTTCAAGACCTCAAAATTGTGTGTAAATGGAGTCATGAGTTTTTAAAGTTTCCAAATTTTGTCCGACCTCTTCTATTCACTAGATCCACTGTGCGCCGTGCCACGAGTCCACAGTCCGGCGATGAGTGCGTGGCGAGTCCAAACACCGTCGAATCCGTGTGTATGCAACGCGGACATCCGTAGAGGCCGTATAGTTGCATCCAGGGGTTACAATGAAATTCGTTAAGTGTTTATCATTTGCAATGCTATCTGAGGGTGCGCATTTGAAATTGTACCCATATTTTCTACGTTCGCTTATGAAGAGGACTGAATTAGGGTTATGCCTTATGTTATTGGTTCTCCGAAGTCAGTCGCTCGATCGATGAAAGCTCGATCGTTGTCAGAAATTGACGCGGGAGAATTTCGGGAAGGATGTTTCGTCAAATGAAGGCACTTACCGTATGATAGATCGCAACCAGAATGGCACACAATCTTAGCGGAACGCAGCAAAATTCGAAACGTGGGAGTCGCGTTTCAATCTCTCCAAAGATATCGACCATGATGATGGATAGTTAACAGTGAGAGTAAAAAAGTTGAGGTGAGACGCTCTGCTGAGGAAAAAAGGGGGAAATGTCATTTTCACAGAGTTTAATAAGGAAAAGCCAGGTCACATCTAGGTCGAACCGAGAAAAACGGGTTTGAGGTTTCATTCCTAGAAGACTCAGGGTCGTATTTATAGTCATTAATTGGACCGCATTTTGCAATTTGGAACTATGCATTCTAGCCCGGTTTAAAAACGACGTATGTGTCATTAGTTTCCCTATGCACATAAGTGTTTTTCCAGAAGAGCCAGAATTTATAGTTCCAAATTGCAAAAAGCCGTCCAATTCAGCGCTCCCATTCCATGTCCGTCGAAAGTTCCGTGATTCGGAACTTTTTTGTTCCAATCTCTCACACTCATGACCGTCAAAAGTTCCGGGATTCTTTTCATTGGCAGATGGTTTCTAAAGTTCCGGAAAATGCAAAAGATCCGGAACATTTTGGGAATTTCGAAAGTTCCGGGAAAAATTCGGGAAAATCTCAAAAGTTCCGAAATTCGGAACTAGTTCCGGGAAATGGGAGCACTGCATTAATTAGACAGCTTTTTTCCTTGTGCACTGAAAAAAGAATCTCGGTGTATTTACTAGGAAAAGGGTAAAATTACCAAGAATTCAGGGTTCTATTTGATCCCAGTTTTTTCTTGGGAAAATTACCATTTATGGAATTGGTAATTTTACCGAGAAATCTCAGTAAAATTATTGACTTTCTCGGTAATTTTACTGAACCTCGGTAAATATTTTTTATCGACTGTGGTAGAATTACCGAAATAAAATGGCAAAGTTACCGGGAATTGATTACCGCAATAAAAGTGGTATTCTTACCTGAAAAAAAAGAGTAAAAATACCGGTTTTTAGGTAAGCTTACCAGTCTGTCTTGGTAAAATTACCAATAATTGGTAAAAAAAGTGAGATGGTAAATGTACCGACGGACCTTGGTAAAAACGCCGTGAATGTTTTTTCAGTGTGAGGTTTCATATGGACGGTGAGACTACCGGACCACATATCTGGGTTTGCGGCGTAGCAGACTTCCTGTCATACTTCATTTTTTAGATGAAAAACTACTCAAAGTTAATTCTCGAAAACTTTTCATGGTTTTTTTCTCTGTATGAAGGAAATTCTGTGAAAATTTCAAGGAGTGATATTGATTAGCTTTCCTTCAAAAAATAATAGGAGCGGAGATTTTTAAACACCGCAAACGAGATACGTGGTCGGATAATTTCTCTATCAATACGGTTTACATTGTGATTGAGGGTTGTCTAATATGATCCTTAATTCAGCATAGTATAAAAGGGGAACCTTTTCCAACCTTGAGTAAAATTCAGCGGTATATCTTTGGAAATGGATCCTTATTAGGGATCACAATGATTTCCCACCTCAAGAAATAGGAAGTACAAAATAAAACATAATGCGAGTTTTGAAAATTTAGTAGGTTCGCACCTACCTCAAAACGTAAGAAAATCATACAAATTTTCCTTCCGTACTTCGTAGTTTTTGCAAAGCAGCTATTGGGCATAATATTCCAAAAATGTTCAACCAAACGGTAGTTATAGGTGGTGTGGCACGCTTCACTGTGTATCAATTGATCTGTCATTTAAAGCTATGAAAAGGATCGATAAACAGTGTGTTCGAAACGAACACCTCAACAATCGATTCTTTACCTCACCTTCAAATGGGGAAAAATCGATAGTCGATCATTCACATCTCGTCACCGGTGGCTTGAAGTTCAAAAATCGTTCTTTCGAGAAAAAACGTTTAAATATACGTTACGTTGTCTGCGAGGCTCAGGACACTATGTTGTTAGATTACAATGCAACTTTCGCCCTGTACGAGCACAAAAATGGATTACATTTTGCAATAGGGAACGAAAACTATTACTGGCTCATCCACAAAAGAAAGTATCGAAACAGGGAAACAGACGGGACGTATGCTGCATATCAAATCATCCAGAAATATAGTGGATCCTCATTGCAAAATGTACCCTTAAAGAGGGGCTTGGAGGATGAGGCGCAAAAGTGCAGTTTTTGGAAAAATTTAAAAATTAATGATTTCAAGTAAAATCGGACTACATTTTGCAATTTGGAACTACAGATTCCGGCCCAGTTTAAAAACAACATTTGAGCCATTAGTTTCCCTATGCACATAAGTGGTTTTTCGGATGAGTCAGAATTTATAGGTCCAAATTGCAAAATGCAGTCCAATTAGTCTCAATACATTTTCTGTGAAAAATTCTCTCAAAATTTTCAACTTTAACGCATCAAAAAGTCAGTTTGAGCCAAAAATGAGGGGCTTGGAGGACAAAGCGTATAAGTGCAGTTTTTAAAAAAATTGAGATATTTATGATTTCGAGTAAAACTAGTCTTAATACATATTCTGTGAAAAATTCGGTCCCAAATTCCAATTTTTAAGCATCAACAAGTCAGTTTGAACTTTCTTTTTGTCATGAGAATTCATGTAATTTCGAAACTTGAAGCACGTATACCTAACTCGAAATGGCAAAAACTGCACGTATGCGCCTTTTCCTCGAGGCCCCTTAAATAAACAACCGCTTGCAACTTACTTGCTCTCCAGGACACTGACGAGGGTCTTTCGTCGAAATCTCAAAGTCCTATCTCGACAAAAATTGCTTCTCAAAAGTTTGTCGCCGTGAAAAATCTTGCAAGGGTCCTCCGGAAAATAAAATAACAAATACACAAAATGAAACGAAAGTACCTTTCCTCGCTGGAGGATTGCGGTTGAAAATATGGCAGAGGTCGTTGTGACCCCCCTCCCATCCGTGAAGGAGATGAATCAAAACCGTGTCTGGTTTTTCACTATCTTGTTGGAGTGGTTCGTTATCACTGAGCTTAGTCAGGAATGGTGGTTTGTTCGTTTGGCTATTGCCGGATTAATTCTATTTTCGGAAATTTGTTGCTCAAAGGGGACTACGGGCCGATTATTGACATTGATAGGCAAAACTATAGACAAAGAAGACAAAAGAGATATGGAGGGATCCTATTGGTGGAAACGGGTGGTTGCAATGGACGAAGGAGGTAGGTAATAGACTAACTAATGGTAACCCACGAGGGACCCTATAATTAGTCCATCATTTTCTCCCTAAGTCTATAGGAACACTGGAAAAAAAACACATTGGATCTAGTGTTCAGACTCTTAAAAACATCGACAAGGAAAAATACTCTTGATTCAATCAGATTTAAGCTTAAATCAATAACCAAGCCTCTTAATTTGAGCGGATTTCCTTTTGATTTAAGCTTAAATCTGATTGAATCAAGAGTCCTTTTTCTTGTCAATGTTTTCAAGAGTCTGGACTCTAGATCCAATGTGTTTTTTTTTCTAGAGAACCACCCATTTCAACCAAAAGGATAGCTCCATACTCCCTATGTCTTCTTTGTCTATCGCCTTGTCTATCAAGTTCAATAATCGGCCCGGCTGGCGGGTCATTTCATATCAAATCAACCAAATATTTGCCAAAATTGTCTTGACCAATAAGTCGATTGCGCTGGTCACAGAATGGTGTTTTGATGTTTCATCCTTGAAGACTAGCTGACAATGACAGTAAGGTCCGTCTAAACAGCAACTTCCAACGTTCAAAATTAACAGAGTCATTGCGCTTTGAAAAATTCGACTAATGACGTCATCCACCGCAGTAGTGACACCTTAGGTTTCTTCCACCTTGTTTTCATCCCGCAGTTTTGCGTTGAGTATAACCGGTGAAAATGCGAGTCTCCCTGGCAGATGAAAGCAAAGGGAAGAAACCAAGGGTGTCAATACCGCGGTGGATAACGATATAAACCGAATTTTTCAAAGCGCGATATCTTAATTAATATTCAGCGCAGAAAGCTGCTGTTTGGACGGATCTTCTCATTTTTAACTAATCTACAAGAATCGAGCATCCAATCAAAATTCTGGAACCAGCGCAACGGTCCCATTGAAAAGTTTGCATTTGGAGGGGCGCGCGTATTGTAAAATTGATCTTTGTCTTGAAAATCTATTACACAACACCAGCGCATCATTGGAAACACCGCAAAGTTTTAACAATGTTTCAACGCTCTTGGGCGGAATTGAAGGCCAAAAAAGCCACTTCCTCAGAGCTTAGTGTGAGTTTTGATCAGAACAAATAAGTATTTTTCAAAGGTTCCATTTTACGCGCAATCTCTACAAAAAAAAAAAAAAAAAAAAAAAAAAAAAAAATCCTGCGGATTTTTGGATCTGTTTTTCGGCCTTGTGTGCAGGTCTTTTAGCTTTGAATCGTTCAATCGGAAAATTACCTAATCCCTTGCGAAAAAAATGCACAAAAAACAAAGAGGAAAATAACTGAGAGTGCGTGGCTAACAATAATTTTGAATTATTTGTAAATGTTTTTGCTGCCTGTTGTTGATGTATCTCGGAGAGACTAGCAGACGTTGGCACTGGAGTTTCCGTTTTTTGGTCCTTGTTTATTAATGTTTTTTTCTCCTTTCTTTCTCTGTTTCTTTTCTTCTTGTAGATGCTGAGGCACCGCTTCAAAACACTTTTTTATGCCTCCCTTCGCTTTACCCTTTGCTTATTCTTACCCTCAACGGCCTGGTTGTTGAAATTGATATACAAAGCGATAGACAAAGAAGACGAAGGAAAATGCAGCGATCCTACTGGTTGGAGCGGGTGGTTGTTATCGAATAATAGGAAAATTATATGGTCTCTCAAAGGTTGCCGTTAGTCTTTTGTCAGTTTCACACAGCCACTTCCATCAGTTCCGTTTTTCTTTTGTCCTCTTTGTCTATTGCTTTGTCTAACAATTTCAATAATCAGCCCGCTGATCGGTTTTCTTCCTGCATTGCAGATTTGAGTGTCTACTTTGAGGCACGTAGTGCTCTGCAGCGTTACCAATAACGTTTTATCTATAAAATGCTTCCGGGAGTCATTATGCCGGACGAGAGAGAAAGGCAACTGCAGAATGAAATACATAATTTTTTTTTTGTTTCGTATTTATTTAATTACTTATTAATTTTTTACAAACAGAAAAAATACATATAAAAATAGAACAGATCTTTACAAAAAAAATTTATATTTACAAAAACAGGACGATTGTTTAAGAGCCGACAAAGAAATTCCTTGTCTACCGGAGAAGGAAAGAAAATTTCAAATGATTTTGAAAAAATACATGGTATAAAGCTGAAATCAAAATAGTAGTCATAAAACTGAATTTCATTCGAAAATTTGCGAGAAATCGCTTCCGGCTAATTTAAAAATGCTAGGAAAGTAGTAAGCTAGCTTCATTTGAAAAATTAAATAATCCATGAGTAAGAAAAAATCAACCTGCAAAAATAAATTAACCATTGCTTTTGATGGCTGTGCAAAATTTAGTGAACAACTATGAACACAGAGCAATTTCAAATCTAAGATTACAGTGACTTTGTTTTGGCGATCACATAACATCGACCTTCTATTTCCTATAAATTAGGGTTGCCATAATTTCGTCATCTTCGAATGTCCTGACTTTCCCTGACTTCCTCCTGGCTATTTTCGGGATCTTTCAAAAGATGTGCATTAGACCAAGAAGTTAATAAAATATTTCGAATAATCGGTCAAACAAGATCATGGATTCTCATACTCGACTAGTTCCTGCCGTGCGCGATTATCCAGGGCCACTTATTAGGCTGTTTAAAAAATTTGACAAAAGATGCAGACGAAGGGGACACCAAGACAAGAGTAAAGGCTTTTGGACTTTCCAAGTATTTACGGGGGCAATTGTGTGTAATGGAATGAGAGTTTAGATTTGAGCAATTATTGTTGTCAAAGATGATAAATGGGTAATTGCATTGCAGAAAAACTAGTCGTATTATGTCGAAGAGCGGCGTGATGCAGCTGGCAAAACATCGTTTGGTGAAAAAAATTTTCAACAACCCAAGGAGCAGAAGACAACTTCTTACGTAAACAAATTCTAAATTTCGGTATCACAAACAAAATTTAAAGATCATGTAAATATTCAATGCTTAAAGACATGCTAAAATGCTCTATGCGTATAATTACAATGGATATCAATGGGCAATAATGAGAAATGATTTCCACGTGCAATGGTGCAATGGTCCATTTTACGTGCAATGGTTCGTAAAGGAATGAGAGTTTAGATATGAGCAACTATTGTAGTCAAACATGAAAAATGGGTAAGTTCATTAAACAAAAAGTGACCCTAGGTTGGAGCTCGGAGGACCCACGGGCCCAGGACGTCCATCTGCAAACGGACGTACCCGAGTTGGCTCCCAAACGTCCGAATCGGCTCCCGTTTGAAAAAGGGTCCCCTTCCCTAAGGGTCGAGTTGGCTCCCGTTAGAAAAAGGGTCCCCTCCCCTGAGGGTCGAGGTGGCTCCCGTTTGAAATGAGTGGCGTGTGCGACGCGCCGCGCGTAAAGCGGCGGACACTAGGTGCGAAATGCATGAGATAAGTCTGAGAAATTAAGAGTGCTGAGGAGAAATCAGTTATCAGCAGTAACACTCACGCCCAAACAATGATTAGGTATTCGGCACTGGACGTTGTCACTTTGAAAAGCAACTGATTATTTTCAATGGAGAAAAAACTTGGAATTTTTTCGATGGAAAAAAGTATAAAATTAAAAAAAAAAAAAACTTTCCCTTCACACTTAATCCAGGCTTTCGGCCTGGACCGCAGTCGAAATACTGGCGACTTACTCTTAATTCACGTCTCACGCAATGTTGTTGACACCTGATGGAGGGAGGGGTGCGTACTAGATAATGCGTGCAGTTGAAGGCGAAGATTATTTTTGATAGGAGAATAGCATCGTAGTTCCCGGCATCGAGTCTGTTATCTTCCCCCTCAATGAAGTGAAGAACGCGCACCTCTCGTTAAGCGTAAATAAACGCACGCTTTACTCGAATTTGTGAAACGAGTCTCTTTTAAATTCCTGCCTTCCCGATTATAAGTATCCTACTCCATGGCCATGTTCCAATGACAAGTCCTGCTAATTGGCCGTAGCAGGTGAAAATTAATAACCTGTTTTTAATCATTTCCATTCCCTACATTTTAATACCCATTGTCCGGAGAGAGACGATATAAACAAACAAAATAAAATTAAAAAAAAAAAACTTTTTAAACACGCCCTTTGAGTACGCTACACTCTTTGGCCAGTCCTAAGCCTGGATTAAGTGTGAAGGGAAAGTTTTTTTTTTTTTTAATTTTATACTTTTTTCCATCGAAAAAATTCCAAGTTTTTTCTCCATTGGGGAGGGGACCCTTTTTCTAACGGGAGCCAACTCGACCCTTAGGGGAGGGGACCCCCTTTTTCAAACGGGAGCCAACTCGACCCACCTAAAAATGGACGGGAGCCAACTCGGCAACTTCCCTGCAAACCGTGGGCCTACCCCCTAGAGACGATCTTGAGCAAAAAGGTGTGATTCTAAGGTTTTCATTTGTGTGACGCGAGAAAATCGGGCCTATCCGAGACAAGGGGTGGATGAATTTGTCGCGATACCGGACGATTGCACGAGATGGAATTGGGGCAGGTAAGTTATCAATAGGTCATTGTTAGGAGAGGCGCGACCCTCTCAACGCAGACCGCGAGATAATAGGTCGCGGTTTCCAGAATATTCTCCCTCTTGATTGGAAGGATATGAATACTCCAAGGGGTTGGTTGGCCAACTTTAGTTTTCGAGTTTTGAGCGCTCGTGCTGGAGAACTCTGTCTTGCGTTCGTTCTGTGAAATTTTACGTTCTGTGCAACTAAGTCCGAATCTCTGTTTCTCGCGTTCTATAAAGGCGACAAACTGTAAATATTTTTTAAGACT